GTGTTCTGCAAAGCGGTCCCCGAGTCTCCGCTTGGTTTCCCCGATGTAGAGGAAGCCACACCGGGTACAGCGGATGCAGTATACCACATTGGCAGATGTGCAGGTGAACATCTGCTTGATGTGGAAAGTCTTCTTGGGGCCTGGGATGGGGGTGAGGGAGGAGGTATGGGGGCAGGTGTAGCACTTCCTGCGGTTGCAGGGAAAAGTGCCGGGTGTGGTGGAGCTGGAGGGGAGTGTGGAGCGGACAAGGGAGTCACGGAGAGAGTTGTCCCTCCGGAAAGCAGATAAAGGTGGGGAGGGAAAGATGTCTTTGGTGGTGGGGTCGGATTGCAGATGGCGGAAGTGTCGGAGGATGATGCGTTGGATCCGGAGGTTGGTGGGGTGGTACGTGAGGACGAGGGGGATTCTTTTTTGGTTTTTATTGCGTGGACGGGGTGTGAGGGATGAGGTGCGGGAGATGTGGGAGACACGGTTGAGGGCGTTCTCGACCACCGAGGAGGGGAAGTTACGGTCCTTGAAAAACGAGGACAACTGAGATGTACGGGAGTGGAATGCCTCATCCTGGGAGCAGATGCGGCGGAGGCGAAGGAATTGGGAATAGGGGATAGCATTCCGTTCCGTTCTTGAGCCTGTTTACAAGTATGCAAGTTGGAACACAATGCAGAACAATATAAAAGTAGCCGTTTATAAGTACAGGAAATGTTCATTTGTCGATCTTTAAAATTACACCCTTGTTTGGGGTCATGTTCATAAGTACGAGCATTTGTTAAATTGGACATTTGTAGATCAGGGGCCACCTGTAGAAATAGAGGATCAGTAATCTGGAGGTAAACAAAAAAAACGTAATAATTAGCAAGAGGATGTTTGGGCCATTTGAGTTCAAAGCAGCAATAGAGTTATAATGTAAAAGTTATGGGTTAGAAATGTAGCTCACCATTATCACATGCTTCCTTATGGGAAAATAATGTTAATTTAACACATATTAGTTTAACCTTGTATTCTAAACATGTTTCACAAATAAGCAAGTAGTAAGTGCAGTGAGTTAAAAGAACATAGTTAGGTGATTTAGTATCGCACAAGTCTGTTCAGGGACGCAACCTCTAGTCAAATTGCTGTATTTGTGTAATTGCTGCGACACTTGGTAATTGTGCATGTGAAGAATATTGTATTAATTGTATCAAATTCCTATTAAATAAATACATATAGAAGTTACAGAGAAAACGCAAGGAATATATTGCACATACCATCACTTAGACTTAAGTAACCAATATTCTGTAATATGGAAAATAGCTCACCATGAATTGCCAAACTGTTTGCACTGCTGTGACACTAATCTCAGGGAAAAGCTTGTCATCAAATTATCTGCAAATTTCATGAAATTGCTGCATTTGCGATTAGATTAATTAAAATTATGCATAACATTATGACTGGTACTTAATGATTACAGGAACTTGTAGATAACACAACTTATTTTCCTGCAGTTACTTAGTCTCACCAACTCAGAAGGGGAAATGTTTAAACCACAACCTATGTTTCTTGCAGGTAATTAATTCATTTTTGTACATTTTTAAGATTATTTAACATTTAATTAATGTTTTGATTTTCCTTTCTGTTTGTATTTCTCTCTCTTTCTTTTGTTTTTGTACCTAACTTGATTCTTGTTTACCCTATTTTTCGAGGCTTCTGTATTTTAAGTCACCTTAGATTTGGAGATTGACTTGAACAGTAGTTGTATCGTATGCTCTTCCAGCAATTTGTGGCGCAAGAAAATTTTGAACTGAAGGTTGAGGAAAATATTTGAAATAGTCAAGGCACAAGGTGCCTTATTCCAACAAAATATAAGCCATTGTCTACAGCTCCCACCTCAAACTCCAGTCCCTGGCCATTGCTTCCTTGCTGCTTTCAGTTCACATTCTCAGGATTAACTAGACTACATTTCCAACATTACAGCAGCAATTACATTTCAAAAGTACCGCATTTATTGTAAAGTGCTTTGGGACTTCCTGAAGTCTTTCAAGATGTGTTAGAAATGGGCCTTCATTTTTCACAGGCTCAACTACCTATATGAACTTGAGCTGAGCTTCTGACCCATATTCTGTCTGTCACCAAAACCAACAACTTCCACAAATGTCTTGTCACCAGTCTGCACCCCAATGCTCAAACTCTCATCCATGCTTTTTGTTACCTCCACAGCTGACTGTCTGTGCTGTCCCAGATGGCTTCCCAGCTGCATCCTCCATTAGTGTGAATTCTTAAAAAATATTGTGACTGTATTTTAGCTCTCGTCAGACACTGTTACTCCATCATTCCTACATTGGTTACCAGCCAACAACCACAAGATTAAAATTCTAATCATGTACCATACCCTAATGTGGTCATATCCTTGTAGTGTCCGAAATTTTTAGAAAACTCCTCAAACTCTAGTGCTATCTTTCTCTTTCACTTTCTTCCTTCTATTATTGTGTGGTTTTGCCTTCATTCCTCAACTTTTCAGTTGATCAACCTTGATCTCTTCCTTTATATATCCCTTAAAACTTGCCTGCCCTTTTGTCAATTTTTGCCTGATGACAGGCCAATGAGGTACCTTGGATATTTTGCTTTACTGAAGGTGCTACTTGAACACAAGTTGCTGTTGGGCATTTATCCTGGTTTCTTCATGGCCTAGATTAAAAAAAAGACTTGTTTTTGACATAGACAAACATTAATCTACAGCTGTCATCCTGGTGAAAAGTCATTAAGTAGAAACTTTAGCTAGATTTAGCTAGCTAGATCTGACTACGTTTCGAATATGTCAGAAAATGCAATAAATTTGAAGCGCTATAGGGGTTAAATTAAGCTATCAGCATTAAAGTACGTTGGAGTAAATTTCACACCAGAACCAGCTTCAGTGAGCCTTTACTAAGTGTTAATGGCAAGGTAAACTATTTACTCAGATGACAATTGAAGTTGTTAAAATTTATTCTTAGATATTGAGTTATGTGACTTTGACCTTGTAGTGGAAGAGGCACCTAGTGGACACAAGGGTAGGCACAATTCAACACAGATTACCAAACTTCCTCAAAAATTGAAACTTGCATGACCCTCTCGCTGAAGAAATTCTTCCGCATCTCAGTTTTGAACAAGTCATCACTTCATTTTGAGGCTTTACCCTTGGCTTCTAGTCTCTCCTACTAATAGAAAGATTTTCTCCACATCCACTCTATCCAGGCCTGTAATTATTATGTGAGTGTCGATGAGATGCTCCCTCAGCCTCCTAAAGTCCATCAAGTACAGACCCAGAGACAGTAAGGGCTGTAGATGCTGGAAGCTAGAGTCAATAAATGTGGAGCTGGAAAAGCACAGCAGGTCAGACAGCATCGGAGGAGCAGAGTCCTCAAGCACTCCTCATATAATAAGCCCTTCATCCCCGAGATCATTCTTGTAAACCTCCTGTGCACCCCTCCCCAACCAGATGCCAGCACATCCTTCCTTAGATATGGGGCCAAAAACTGCTCACAATATTCCAAAATGTGGTTTGACCAGAGCCTTATACAGTCTCAGCAGTACATCTCTGCAATATTTTCCAGCCCTCTTGAAATGAATCTAACATTGCATTTACCTTCCTAACTGACAACTGAACCTGCATGTTAACCATAAGAGAATTGTGAAATAGGACTCCCAAATCCCTTTGTGCTTCAGATTTCTAAAGCCCTTCCCCATTTAGAAAATATTTCATGCCTCTATTCTATCCACCAGAGTGCATAACCTCGAACTTTCCCACATTGTATTCCATCTGCCACTTCCTTGCCCACTCTCCTTGCTTGTCCAAGTTCTTCTGCAGCTTCCCCATCTCCTCACCAATACTTGTTCCTCCACCTATCTTTGCAAACCTAGCAACAATGCCCGCAGTTCCTTCCAGATTGTTAATGCATAAATGAGGAGGGACAAGTTAAAAGGGCAAGTGTTCAACCTCCCAGTCAATGTTTTCTGCTAGTAGCACCTACCTTTAACACCTGTTCTTACCTATATTCCTCCTTTACTATTAATACCACTCGTTTTGTCTTTTAATCTGAGCACCCTCACCAGCTACTAAGTTTGTCCCTCCTTCTCCTTCAGAACAAGTTAAAGTTGTAATTTCCCAACCTACTTCAGTTCTGAAGCAGACTCATATTGGAAGCAACATGTATACACTGTTTTTCTATCCATAGATGCTGGAAAACCTGCTGAGTTTTCCATTCTGAAGAAGGGTCTAGGCCCGAAACATCAGCCTTCCTGCTCCTCTGATGCTGCCTGGCCTGCTGTGTTCATCCAGCTCTACACCTTGAGATCTGAGTTTCTCCAGCACTTCTGTTTTTTTTATTTCAGATCACCAATATACACAGCACTTTGCTCTTATTTTAATGGAATGAAGGAAAATATGGTACAGCCCTAAAAGGTCAAATGATGCACAAATTGAGTTTTTTCTTACTTTCTGAACATGTGCTTTTTTTTTGTTCCAATTGTTGTTTGTTCACGTGTTTAGTGATGGAGACTGCCTCATCTCAGAGACGAAAGAAAGACAAAACAAGAGATAGCCCTGCTAAACTTCAATACCAGATTCAAGTGAATGGAGTTTTATATGACGGTAAAAAAACATTTTGTGAATAGTTGTAGAATATCGAATCACAAGTAAAGGCAGTTTCTATCACAAAATTTGTTTGATAGTTTAAGTAAGACTGGGTACTGCTTTTGTGATTCCTCACTTTGTATGCAAATGTAAGCAAAATAGGAAACAGTTCACCCAATCCTTGAATCAGCTTCAAAAGTTCCTGCATAAAATATTACTGATGTATTCAACTTCTCCCAACACACCACCATCCCAGAAATAAAGAGATCTGAATGACATTTGAGTTTAAAGTAAAATTTTAAAGCTTTGATAGTCAAAAAAATTTGTGTGTGCCCATTCAGGGTGTGCAGAGAGTTGGCATGAACTGCAGCTGTTCAAGAAGACACTTCTCAAGGGCAATTAGAGATGGGCAATAAATGCTGGCCCAGCCAGTGATCAAAAAAAAAGTATAGGAGGGAATGTGGAAGGCAAATGGCATATTATCTTTTTTGTAAGGGGTTTGGAATATAGGAATAAAGAGGTCTCATTACTGTTGTACATAGCTGTAGTGAGATCACATCTGGAGTACTGCATGCAGTTTTGTTTATCACATTAAGGAAACTATTTACTCGTAGGTTCACTAAATTAGTCCCTGGGATGAGGGGGTTGTTCTATGATGAGAAACAGTGTAATTGGGCCTATATTTTCAGGAATTTAGAAAAATGAGAGATGATCTCATTGAAATGTGCAAAATTCTGAAAGGATTTGACAGGGTAAATGCTGAGACATTGTTTCCATGGGCCAGGGAAGCTAAATCATCAGAGCTGATCATTTAGGACAAATGAGGAGAATTTGTTTCACTCAAAGAGATGTGGGTCTTGGAATTTTCTGCCTCAGAGGGTCGTGGATTTTCCATTGTTGAATATGTTTAAGGTTGTGATAGATAGATTTTTGGTCTCAGGGAATTGAGAAATATAGCAGTAAGGTGAGGTTGAAACCTAAGATCAGCAGGATTGTATTAAATGGAGAAGCAGACTCAAGGTGCCATGGGGTCTACTCCTGCTCTTATTTCTTGTGTTTGTGTGAAATTGGCTCAGAGGCTGTAGCTTTTGTGAAGATGAAGTAAAATGTTGGGAATTATTACTGTAACCTTTACTATAAACTAAGAATAGTAAAATAAAAATTAGTAATGAAATAAAGTATTAAGTTAAATTTGTGCTATTAAAATTCAGTTGTGTGCATGTAAACCCTTCATTTTTGCATATTTCACTAACTGACCTTCATTTTGAGGTTTTACCCTTGAGTCCTAATCTCTCCTACTAATAGAAAGATTTTCTCCGCATCCACTTTATCCAGGCCTGTAATTATTATGTGAGTGTCGATGAGATGCTCCCTCAGCCTCCTAAAGTCCATCAAGTACAGACCCAGAGACAGTAAGGACTGTAGATGCTGGAAGCTAGAGTCAATAAATGTGGAGCTGGAAAAGTACGGCAGATCAGACAGCATCGGAGGAGCAGAGTCCTCAACCACTCCTCATATAATAAGCTCATTTTGTTGAATCTTTCATTTTTCATTTGTCAGGACCTTCACAAGAATACCAATAAAATGGGAACAATGTTTTATGTGGTATGAGAGGAAAGTGTTGAGTGGTTGGCAAGTGGACTCTCGTGGGTGGAGACATGCACCAGTTAGATGATGACTGACAGTTTAATACTTGACAATCGCCAGGCTTTTTATAAAATTTAAAATAGGTAGGTTGACTTTGATTGCTAATAGCTTTACCTTGAGAAATGAACCAGAGATTTGTTTTGCCAGTCTTATTAAGTTGAAACAGGTGCAATGTGTGTTAAATGCATTTATCAGTATACTGTAGTGAAATTCATATACCACATGACTCATTTATGTGATATACCTGGCAGCCACCTCCTGTCCATGGTGACAACCCTTTTTTTGTTGCTGTTGCAAAGTAGCAGCATGAAATTGCTGTCTTTTCCTGCTGTGCAAATTTGTAAGGTACCTTACTCTTCCAGAATTATGTGTGATTCTCAGAATTGGAAGTGATAGCCTTAGGCCCATTAATGAGTTAGCGTGGTGTATGGTGAGAAATGATCTTATCGGTGTAACCACTATTTTGCAGGATGGTTTTGATGTGCATCAAGGCTGCACAGTAAGGAATAGCTCAATAGTTACAAGGTTGTCAACAATGGCAATCATATAGTGCGTGGAGCTGTAGGAATCCCCATGCTTATATTACTCAGTGAAAATAAACTTATAATAGACAGCGGTAGGCAACACCTGGCAGAATTTTCAGCTAAAATCAAAAGTAAGCAAACACATTTGATTGCTTGATTTCAAATGTGAGTTTGAGTGCAGGATGGAGTCCTTGAGGTTGTATCATAAAATTCAATGTCAATAGTGGAAGATTTAGTGATGATAACACCATTGAATGTCAAGGGGCAGTGGTTAGATTGTTACTTATTGGTGATCATCATTGCCTGGTATTTGTGTGGCATGAATGTTACTTGTAACTTGTCAGCCCAGATCTTGTTGCATTTGAACAAGGATTGCTTCAGTACCTGAGGAGTCATGA